CCCCAAAAACCCCAAAACCCCAAAACCCCAAAACCCCAAAACCCCTAAGTTTTTACAACTTATTGAAACACAGAATTCCAAATAAATGGGTTACAACAGCTTAAGAATCCTTTTTATTCTCTTTGCTTCTTATCTCCTCCATTCTCTTGAACTCATCCTTTGTTAGTGGCTCAAGGATGAGATTTGGTATATTCTCATTGACAAGCAGAATAGGAGGGACGATGAAAGCTATAAATTCATGCAAAGTACTTGGCTGATTTTCTGTATCGTATCCAAGATCTCTAAAAATGCAAGGACCACAATCATCAGGAGAGACTACTTCAAATCCTTTTCTATAATAACACAATCCCGTGCAAACATATCCTGGAGAGAAGCATAACATATCTAGTTTATCTCTTAACTCATAACCTACTGCCTTAGTCAGACTTCTTATAAACGCTTTAGTTGCTCCATATTGTGCGTTTCCTGGCAAAGGTGCATATCCTGCATGACTTGAGACGTTTATAATAGCACTTCTCTGGTCTCTCTTTGCAAACCTCTTAGCAAAGATCAATGTGAGCAAAGATAATCCATTGACGTTGGTCAGGGTAATGTTTTCCATTACTTCTTCTTCTAAAGTGAGAATTGGTCTCATATCCTCAATTCCAGCACAGTTGATAATCATCGAAATGTCTAAGTCTTTCAGATCCTCAGAGATTTTGAGATACGACTTGTACCCAGAGTTTTTGGTGAAGTCAAACTTGTAAGTCTTGGTCTTGATCTTTGGGTTGGATGCTTTAACTTCCTTCTCAGATGCCTCCAACTTCTCTTGATTTCTACCCAACAGAATAACGTTGAGCCCTTTAACTTTTGCAGAGTATTTGGTCAATGCTAATCCAATTCCTGCTGTGGCTCCAGTAATCAGAATCCAAGAATCTTTTCCATATCTTTCATGTACATCATACCCCTTCCTGAAGAAATTTCTCTGGACATAGAATCCAAACTTCATGGCCACTAGGCCGATCACGAACAAGCCTACGAAGTAGGCGACCTGGTTCAGGCAGCAAAACATATTTATTAAATACAAATTTTCATCGAAGGGGCTTCATAATGGGGTTTTGGGGTTTTGGGGTTTTGGGGTTTTGGGGTTTTGGGGTTTTGGGG